TTGAAACGGAGGGAGGAATACACAAGAGCAACCAACAAGCAAATGAGATTTTGAAAAGAACAAAAGGGGCAAACTTTCATATGAAATTCGATATACATATTGTCTTCATTATTCAAAAATAATGAAGAATATCAATTTATAAGTTAATTACTTTACCTCAAGCCTCGAAAATTGAAGTTCCGGCCGACGGCGATAATGGCGAATTTCGTCGGAAGATAAAATTTATGTTACAAAGTTACAGTAAGCACAAAAAATAAAAAGTGAGCACAAAACAATGCTACAAGTGTAAATTTGCCACAAATGGACACGTGGCTAAAAATTGAAGTGTCTTTCTCTCACCTATTTCTCCCCGAATCACTCAGAAGAAAGTGCAAAAATTTTGCCCTAAAAGAGCTAAAGAAGAGGAGTAGTCACAAGGGTTATTGAGAAGAGAGGCAAAGATTTAATCTTTGTTGGATTTTACATCATCAGCAATCTTCTTGATTGGTAAACTTAAAGTCTTCTTCTATTATGTTTGTGTTTTTTACATCAGAAATTTACTTTTGTTTTAGTTGTTGGTTCCTTTGGGTTTTGCTTGTGTTCTTTCTTTTAAGTCAATAAAAATTGAATCTTTGTGGAAGTAAATGATTATAGAGAAGTACTATATGGAAAATTCTAATAAAAAGTAAAGAGCCAATGGTTTTTTTTTTCTCATTTTGTGTAAGGTCAGGTGGACAAAGTTACTTGGTAGTTGTGGGTTGTGGGTGGAGTGGAGATGTGCTTAAGCTCGCGTAGACATAGTTACCTGGTTCTTGTGGGTTGTGGGGTGGTGGGTGGAATAGTTGGAAATTGAGATGCGCTTAAGCTCGGGTGGATAGAGTTACTTGGTACTTGTGGGTTGTTTGGTGGTAGGTTGTGACTGAAATAGTTGAGATGTTCTTAAGCTTGGGTGAGTGGGGTTATGCGGTACTTGTGGATTGGGGTGGAGTAGTCGAGATGTGCTTAAGCTCGGGTTAATAGAGTTACCTAGTACTTGTGGGTGGAATAGTTAAGATGTACTTAAGCTCGGGTGGATGGAGTTACCTGGTGGTTGTGGGTTGTGGGCTGGGTGAAGTGGTCGGACAAGCTTAAGCTGATCCAAACACCACCATTTAAAGAAAACAACATGGAAAATTCTTGGATTGCAAAAACACCTGGACTATTGTATGGAATGGGGAATTGGATTGCCAAAAAAATTTGAATCTTTATTTTAGAAATGAGACAGGAAGCTACCTGGTACGCGTGGGTTATGGATGGGGTGGTGAGTGGAGTAGTTGATACGTGCTTAAGCTAGTCCAAACACCACCATTTGAAGAAAACAATATGGAAAATTCTTGACTTACAAAAACACCATGACTAGTGAATTGAGTGGGGATTTGGACTATCAGAAAAAAATGAATTAGAAACGAGACAGGGAGTTATTCTTCTCATCTTTAAATGGTGTTGCCTGGCTTACTTTTGTGCCTCGACTATTTCTTTGCAACTTGTAAACTCTATTGGGATCACCTAAATCTAGATTTGAACTTAATCACCCATGGTTTTCGTCCCACCTTCACTAACCAATAGCTACAGCCTTGGGTGAGGAAAAGAATAAAACAGACCCTAGGCAAAAGTACTTAAAGAAGGGCATTTGGCAACAATCTCGGGAAAAGGTAACTCCACTTCTTTGATCTTCACCAAAAATTCTAGGTCTTGGTAAGCTGAATATTTTCTTTTACTGCTTTTAGGTGAGCTGAGTTATGGTACATTTCCTTTATCGGCAATATATAATAGAATTTCACCTGATATTTAGGTTATACTAATGTAAGTGTTAGGTCTTCGGAAATCTAGTAGTAGTTGGTTTGATGTCAAATCCAGCTAAAGCTATGGAACAATTACTGAGCTGAATTTAAGAGTGAAATTTACCAAATGTTGGTAAAAGGCACTATGATTCTCGTGCATGTGTTTTGACTTTTCCTTTCCGATAACAAGTCTGTATTCTTGAAGTATTTGTAGAAAGGTATTCTTGCTCTAAAGAATGCAATTCATTGATACTTAGTAGAGATGGATCACTGTCATCTGTTTACTATATGCAAATAATTGTAGATGACTTAACTTCGTGCTCTTGTTTATTTTCTTGCAGATTACTACTGGTGTTGGACGATGCCTCCTGAGATTTCCGATTTACCTGAGAATGTTATCAATGCCATTCTGATGCCTTTGCCTTTGCGAGATGCTGTGAGGACAAGCATCTTATCGAAGAAATGGAGGTACAAGTGGTGCAAACTTCCACAGTTGACGCTTGATGATGAACTATGGAAGACGACAGATAGCTTACTATCTCCTTCTATTAAGTTTACAACCATTATGTACAACATTTTGACCCTTCATGAAGTTCCGATTACTCATTTCACCCTTTCCATGTCTAAACTGAAAAAGTATCCTAAGATTTGCAGCCTGTTACATTTCCTCTCTAGGAAAGGCATTCAGCATCTCGTTCTTCAATTTTCAGAGTGGAACCGACTCAAACTACCTTCTTCATTTTTTACGTGTTTGCAGTTGAGTCACTTGACCCTCCAAAATTGTCAAATATGTCCTCCACCGGCCTTTGAAGGGTTCAATATGTTAATTAGCGTGGAACTGTGTCATGTGTCAGTTTCTTCCAGATCACTAGAAAGTTTAATCTCTTCTAGCCCGTTGCTTGAGAAGCTAGTGCTGAAATTCTTTGATTCCATGAACCACTTTGAAATTACAGCTCCCAAGTTGAGATCCTTTGACTTCTTAGGCTGTATAAAATATGTCTCCTTAAAAAATTCTCCGCATCTTGCAAAACTCTCTCTTTTCTATGGAGAATCTTTTGAGGAATCAGAAAAATGTGATCTTGACAATTTTTTTCAGCCACTTCTTGCTCTTGAGAATCTCCACTTGGAATACGGAAGTTTCCAGGTAAATGTTGCTTCGAACTTCATTTTAATGCCTATGCAGTTTCATTAAAATTGGTATATTTACATTTTCATCTTTTGGGGCTTTGAGTCATCCTGGTTTTTCATTTTCTTTGTAGTTTTTGACTGCTTCATTACCAAGAAGGCTTTCCTCTGCTCTTAACAATCTTAAACGTCTTTACGTATCACTGGATGAATTAGCTGATCTTTCATGCGCTCTTTGCTTGATACGAAGTTCCCCATGTTTACAACATCTTGAAGTGCAGGTTATTTAGGATGTTTATGTTTCTCTTTTTCTTTTGCATCTACTGCCCATACGTTATGGTGACTTATGTTCATACTCATTAGATCTTCAACCTTCTCAATCTTTCTTAGGTGTCTTTAGAATCGGATAATAAAGTTAATGAAGTTTCTGCGAGCTTCTCAGATGTGACAATGAATTACCTTAAGAAAGTTAAGGTTGTCGGAGTAATAGGCACTAAGCTGGATATGGCGCTTATCAAGCTTCTGTTGGCCAAATCTCCGATGCTGGTGAAAATGCTAGTTGAGCCCGACCTACAATTAGTAGACGAAGAAAAAGGTGTCAAGATACTTGCAGAGTTAACAACATTTCCGCGAGCATCAGGTAAAGCTGAAGTTGAATGTCAGCTAGAAAGGAAATGAAAAAGAGCCGGGGGTATGGATGTTTTTCGCTTGATAAAGAGTTCTGAGGCTTGGATATAATCTGCACTGATGTTGTTTATTTTCAATGGTATCTGAGGTGTGTTGATTCTTTACTTTTTCGTGTATTGACTCAGGTTTGGGGTCGTACACCTAGTTTACGTAGGTTTGTTAGCCTCCAAAACGCGAGTAACGCGTCTTCTAATGCTTCTTTCAGACCCTACAAATGGAGGTAGAGCTCTGCACTTCTCATGCTCCATTGTTGAAGAACTAAAAAGACATTAGCATTAGTTTTCCTTTAAATCTACAGTGTTATGAAGATTCTTTTTATAAAAAAAAATAAAAATAGTTATGTCATTTAGTATATGTTATTTGTTCTTTTATTTTGGTTTTAACCATTGAGTGCTCACCAACTTTACTAATTTGAATTCGTGGTTCAAATACAGGATCTCTGATTAAGATGGGATAAATCATAAATATCTCTTTTTTTTCGTAGTTTCACACCTCAACTATCAATACAGATGGAGTATCAACATATTTTCGGAGAATCAACACTTTATGTGCGACTGTGACACACAACACAATATTGAAATTGAAATAGACCACCATAGTATATCAAATCATAAGCATGTCACATTGAACAAAATCATTCATGAACAGAGAGACTGGGAACTTAAATGACACAACAAACTAGCCAAAAGCAAAACACAATGTTAGATTACTACTAATAGTACAGCAACATTCGTTTCCATCTATTAGTTTCATCTTCAAATATACTACTACTTCTCTGAAGATCGCGACAGATTACTTCAACTTTAGGTGATACATGCCAAAAGTTTGATACTTCAGCAAGTATCTTTGATCTTCTTTTGGGGAGTAAATATGAATCTATAGTCACTGTCTCCAACACTGGGGACTTGGCTAACAAAAGCTTGAGAAACTCCAACTCATGTGTATCCCCCCAAAACTCGCCTAGCTTAACTTCCCTGAGGTGATTAAATGTCACATCTGCAAAACGATCTAGTTTAAACAATTCTACATCACCATCACCACAACCATCACCGTCATTACTAACCTAAGAAAGATAACAAGAAGTAAACTCCAGGTTATTGAGACTTTGAAAAAAATGAAACCACTATATAAGGAAGAAAGAGTAAAAGTAGTAAGAACCTCAATTTCAAGATACTCCAAGTATGGGAAGCTTCTTAACAAGCAAAAACAGCATAATGTCTCATATGTATGCTCCAGAACAATACCAGGCAAGCATAACCGCTTGACACGGTTATGATCAAAAGGAAGCCTTGTTGGTGCTTCATCTGGTTTTGCAATATCAATCTACAACAAAAGCAAAAGTTAGCATGATTGTTCCCAAAAGAAGTTCCATGTATGAACACTCAAAAGTTATAAAAAAGCAACATCTACCTCTTCAAAACAGAACTGGAAGTCGAGGTGCTCGAGAGCAAAACAAGACTTGAAAAACTTCACAAAATGAAAATTGTGCGCCTCTAAAGATGAACCCTCACATAAGTCCAGAGATACTTTTGTCAAAAGAGGGACGTTCGTTAGACTGATGTAACTTATACAGCCTGAGAAATCAAAGGATTTCAGCTTAGGGGCATTAATTTCTATCATATTTGAAACTGGAACTTGTGAGATTACCAGCACCAACTTCTCAAGCAACGAGCAATGAGATATCAAACTTCCGAGCAATTCAGAAGAGATTGTGACATCACATAGTTCTAAGGTGATTAACCTATCAAATCCTTGAAAGTTCGAGGGAGGATGTATAAAACAATTTTCAAGAGCTAGATGCCTCAGCTGCAAACATGTGAAAAGTGAAGACAATTTGTATGCTTCACCTTCATCTTCATTCCATGGAAGGTGAAGAACAAGATGTTGAATGCCATTCATCGAGAGGAGATATATGAAGAAGTCAATCTCAGGACAACTTCTCAACTTGGTAATGTTGAGGGTAAACTTAGTAATCGGTCCTTCATGAAGGGTTAAAAGCTGGTAGACAATCTTCAAAAATTTAGAAGTAGGATATAGTAAATCCTCCTCTGTACTCCAATGAGATTGATCAATCGTCAATTCTGTAAGTCTACGCCAATGGTACCTCCATTTCTTCGATAAGATGTTTGTCCTCACAGCTTCTTTACAAGGCAAACATATCAGAATAACATCAATTATGTTATCAGGAAGGTTACTAAGGATGTCAGGAGGTAAACTTCGGCAACGCCTTCTTCCCTTGGGAGACATCCTAATAATCACCAAGAAGCTGTAGAAAACAAGCAAAGCAAGTGATCTCCAAATTATCAGAACAGAACAGAACTATTTTCACATTCCACATAACAAATAAAGTTGTATGTTGTATGGTTCATACAACTTCTTCCTCTTAACATCTATGTTATACTCATTCTAATGTAACATGGATATGCACCAACAAACAAATCCATGTATAGTTGCACTCTTACAAGTTATGTTACTTGGACTCGCCAAAAACAATGTCGCACCATGTCAAATCTACCAAAAATGTACTCGTTTCGTTTCAGTTTGTTTGCATTATTCTGACTTAACACCGAAAGAAACTAAAACTTTTGAATCACATGGTCTTAAACTAAAGATATGTAATATGTACCATAATACTCTATATTTATGGTTTTAAACATGTCATATGGAAAACTAGAAAAATAGAATTAAAGAGTTGTCAAATAAGAAAAAAAAAACTATTCTTTTTTCTAAACGAACTAAACAAATCTAAGTAGGAGTATTACTTTTTGGAGAATCGACACAAACCTTATAATTTTTTATAGTACAACAACATATTCAGTGTAACATCACAAAGTAGGATTCGAGGGGCTATAGGTATATGCAAGCCTTACGACCTTAACCCTACTTAAGAGGTTGGTAGATAGTTTATTTTCGATAGATCATCAATTCAAAGATCATTTTTTTTAAAAGTCTGAGCAACATAAACACCTTACTTTAATACTCGACAATACAATTGTGAGTTAAAAAAAACTAGAAACTTAGAATCACATTATATATTAGCTTCTTCTTATAGAGAAACAATAATATAGTTATTTTAATTAATAAAAATAAGCATAAGAATCTTATAATAGTCGCTAAAAAAATTACCCTTTTTGAATATCTTGAATCTCAATCGTCAGAGGGAGAAACGAATAGGGAAAAACAACGTAAGGAGAAGTTAGGCTTTGTCCGTTTATATACTATTTAGGTGTCGTTTGAACTTCATTGATTTGAAATAATGTTTGAGAAATTACGTAGAAATATCAGTTATGTTTGTTTTAGGATTATAATATCACCCAACTTTATCTATTTTCCTTAAAATATACTTGACACAAAAAATAGATTACTCTCTCCTATTAGGATGTCATGTCATATTATTTATTTTTTTGTTATTAAAAAAATATAATCTAAACTTATTTAAATGTTAGGTTGCAATATGTTTTTTATATTAAAAAATACTGTTTTTTATTTATGTTTTTTGAAAATGTTTTGTTTTTTTAGATATATAAAGATAATTTTTAAAAATTGAATGAAAAAAAAGTACTTAATTTCTACAATTAACTACTAATGAACTGTTTTAACTATTTTTTACAAATAAGTTTCTTAATTTTTTAATGATAATTATTATTTTTTCTTATAAGCTTTTTAATTAATTTTTTAAATAATAATTATAGTTTTTTTAAAAAAATATTGTTTTCTATTTATGTTTTTTGAAAATGTTTTGTTTTTTAGATATAGAAAAATAATTTTTATTATTTTATTGATATATACGCACTTCCTACTTTAAAGCATGAAATAATTCTTTTATTGTTAAAAATAAGTTATATTATTTTTCATTATATTTTTAAACAAATAAATAGCTTTATTGTCATATTTTATAATTATAAATACTCCTTGATCATTATTAATTAGTTAAAAGTTAAAACTAACTATATTCAATCCTCACTTGTCAAAATTTTATTTTTAATTTTAAAGTCATGTATCATATAATTCTTTGATCATCTGCATTTTATTTTACTTAAAAATTCGAAAGCATAGTCCATTATTTTTTCTTAATATGCTTGGTTTCCAAGTGACCACGTCCCACTTTCTTTTGTCATTTTCTTTTACCTCTTTTTTTTTAAATAAATACTTGGATAAAAAGATATTGGTAGCCACCTCAATTTGACTTTTTATCTTTTTTCTCACAATTGTATCTAGCAAAGCTTGATTTTCATCATACAGTTTGACTTGATATAAAATTTAAATAATTTTTTTTAAAAAAATTAATTGTATAAAATAAAAGGAAGACTCATGATCGCATGTTGCAAAATCAAATTGATAGACATTCTTGTAATTTTTATACAAGTTATTTTACCAAAAATAAATAAATATTTTAAAATTAAATTATTCCGAAATACATGAACAAACTTTTTTAAAAAGTTGAAAAGTCACAAGAAAGTTTGATTAGAGTACCAAGCAAATTAAGAAAAAAATAATGGACTATATTTTCAAACTTTGTTTTGGTCCCACCAATAATTCCATCTATAAATTAATCCAATTTTCTTCACAATATTCAAGAAAAACACAACAAAATTAAACATTTTACAAATTTTTCATCTTGTGTGTAAAATCACTATGAATCTTCAACAAAGTGCATATGTTGTATCAAAAATTCCAATTTTGGGTTGTCTTATGAACACCCTTTTCATATTTCTTTGTCATGAGAGTGATATTAATGAAAATCATGAGAATGACACACAATTAATTGATAGGGAAATCAATGATGATATTGCAAATGCTAGTAATATAGCAGCTCAAAAACATTTTCAACAAGTTCAACACATCAAAGGGGCTTGAGATTATCAAGTAAAAATTAAAAATGATCTATGTTGCCCGTCGGACGTAAGTTAAATTAATTTTAAAAAGATTTTATTGAGCGTGATCAAAAGTTCCGGAGGCAGTCTCTTGTTTTTTGTAATTTTTTTAAATTCTAAAAGCATATGCATATCAAGTGTAATATCATAAACTATAAATAGTTTCTCTTTGTATTAATTTTTTCTATTTTCTCTTAGGTTGTTATGTAGCTAGTGCAAGACTTCTGATATTTATTAATATGGTTTTGATTAATTGAAGCAGACTTTTGTTTAATGAGCTCATGAATTTGATCATTGTACTTTTCATAATCCTTTTGTTCAAATTTATTGTCGTGTTTACATCAATTTAATGATATGTAGTATGTGATATTCTTATTATTAAGCTATCGTTAATGAACTCGTTTTTTTATAGTAAGTTAATATAATTTGACATGAATATCGAGTGTGAATAAATTTTTTACTGATACATTATGATACGATAAAAGTGTGGCATAAATTCAAAACCACGTGTAATAGGAATAGTTTAATCAAGTCACAATCATGTTGACTCAATGCATAGACCTATGCAAGGAGATTAAGAAGCTTCCTTTTGCAAATAATTAGCATTATTTTTAAGGGAAAAGGCTCAAAAATATTTTAAAACTATTCGAAATAGTTCATATATATCCTTAAACTTTATTTCGATTTAAAATTATCTTTCCCGTCATAGTATTGGGTCAAAAGTACCCTTCTTATTAACGGAAGTTGTTAAATGTCATGTGAATGCCATATGGATGCCACATTGCATGCCAATAGGATTCCACTGCCACGTAGACTAAATAGAAAGGGTCAAAAGTACTCTTAAACTATCCGAAATAGCTCATATTTACCCGTTCTCCCTCACTTCGCGCCTAGGTTTCATACTTTTCTTCTTGGCTAGGTTTCAAAGTGGATATTCATGCTTGTAGGCTAGTAAATATTTTTTCTTATTTTATTATGTTTACGATTTCAAAGCATGATAGTTAGGATTTCACAACTTTCCCCTACTTTCACAGCTAAGGTTTCGTAACTTTCTCCGGGGCTGAGTTTCAAAGTGGATATTCATGGTTGTAGGTTAGTAAATATTTTTTTCTTATTTTATTACGTTTATTACGTTTAAGATTTCAAAGTATGATAGTTAGAATTTCACAACTTTCCCGTCATTTCGCGGCCAATGTTTCATAACTTTCTTCGGAGTTGAGTTTCAAAGTAAATTTTTGTGGTTGTAAACACAATAAAATAAGAAAAAAGTTTACTAACCTATAACCACGAATATCCACTTTGAAACCCAGCGACGAAGAAAACTGTGAAACCTTAGCCGCAAAATGAAGGAGAAGGGGTGAAATCGTTTCTGGAAAATAATGAAATGAGGGAAAAATGAGTAATTAAGATTTAGGGATTTAGTCAAAAACAATGTGGCACATGTGGAATTTAACAATTTCCGTTAATAAGAAGGTCACTGACCCAATAGTTTGACGGAAAGGATAGTTTTGAGCCGAAATATAGTTTAAGGGTAAGTATGAGCTTTTTCGGATAGTTTAAGGGTACTTTTGACCCTTTTCCTTTTAGTCTATGTGGAAGTGGAAATCTATTGGGGTGTCATGTGGCATTCATGTGGCATCCACATGGCATTTAACAATTTTCGTTAATTAGAAGGGCACTTTTGACCCAATATTTTGATGGGAATGGTAGTTTTGAGCCAAAATATAGTTTAAGGGTATATATAAGCTATTTCAGATAGTTTAAGGGTATTTTTGACACTTTTCCGTACTTCTAATAATATGTCAAGAATATTATTCCACTTGTTTTTTAGTTACTGAGTTTGCAATCAAATATTTTTACCTACTTGAAAACAAAAGCTACGAATCTGTCAGAACTAGCCCATAGTATTGTAGCTCCGCCTCTGTTTGACCTTTGCAAATATGATCTATAAGGTATAACTAATTGATGTTATGTTGCTCGGGCTCTTCAAAAATGATTTATAAGATCACCCTCAACAATGAGATACTCACTTTTGAAGAACCTTTTCATACGTTGTTCAGACTCTCCAAAAATATACTCTCACCAAGTCTAATCCTCAACAACCGCACTAACTGTTGTAGGATCAGCATAAGCACGTCAACACTTTTGAAGAGTTCGAGCAACATAAAACGTATGTGTGAACAGAGTTTTATTCATCTTCACTTTAGTGGAACAAATATTTACACAATCACAAACAAAGCTACATCCAAGAGATACAACAAGAACTACATGAAGGAAAAAGAAAACTCAAGTTGATTCATTGATCAAGTACAATTTTTGACCATCAACAATCATATCTACATCAAGAATTTTACCAGCATCTTCTGATAATAT